CAAATTTGCTTCTTGTCCTAATTTCACAATTTGCTGTTTGATTAAGTGGTTCATTTTTTCCACTTGACCACTCGACTGGGGCTGATATGGAGTATGAAGCTGCTAATCTATACCCAAATGGTGGCTAATTTGTTGTACTATTTTGAGACAAAATGTGGTCCTCTGTCAGAGGATATGGTTGCTGGAACCCCAAAACGTGGTATTATCTCTTGTACCAATATTTTAGTTACCTCCCGAGCTTTAGCTGTTCTTGTTGGGAATGCTTCTGGCCAACCTGAAAAGGTATCAGTTAATACCAATAAATATCGATACCCCCCTTTTCTTGGAAGTTCTGTAAAATCAATTTGCCATTGTTGTCCAGGTCCATTGCCTTTTCCAATCTGGCCCATTTCCAGCTTGGGGGTATTCTTAGGATTAGTCTGGAGGCAAAGATCACACTGTTGAGTCACCTGTCTCACCATGGTGTATAAATTTCTAGCCACAGATTCTCTTATCAAATGATTATACAGAGCCTCTGTTCCCCAATGTCTTTTCCTATGTTCCTCCCATATCAAATGCCATAATAAGCAAGAGGGAACGATTAGCTTTCCCTGTGGGGTATGAGCCCACCCCTCTTCATTATATGACCCTTCTAAATCTGTAATGAGCTTTTGTTCTTCCTTAGTGTATTCTGGCTTACCTTCTAGGGAAATCTGTCTATCAGGAATTAAGGCTCCTTCTGTTTTTACCTTTGTTTTGGCCACTTGTTTTGCCTCTCTGTCCGCCAGCTCTTTCCCTTTTTCCAAATCTGAGCTCACTTTCTGGTGTGCCTTAATATGCATAATTGCTACTTTCTTAGGGAGCTGGACAGCTTCCAGTAACTTAGAATTTCTTCTGCATGTTTGATATTTTTCCCTTGAGAACTCAATAGTCCTCTCTCCTTCCAAATTGCTCCATGTGCGTGTACAACTCCAAAGGCATATTTTGAGTCTGTATAAATGTTCACAACTTTGCCCTGGGCCAATTCCAGGGCACGGGTTACAGCAATTATTTCTGCCTTCTGTGCGGAGGTGTTCATGGGCAAAGCCCCTGATTCTATTACCTCTTGGCTGGTGGTGACGGCGTATCCCGCATGTCGATTACCATTTAGGACGTAACTGCTTCCGTCTGTGAACCAAGTTTCCCCGTTTTCCATGGGGCTTTCAGGTCTGGGCAACTGGCGTATGTTGCTTCGATGGTTTCCAAACGGTCGTGATGTACCGGTTCTCCTGTGTTCCCGCTGAGAAAAGAAGCTGGGTTGACAATGTTAGTGACTACAATCTCCACATCATCCTGCTCTATCAATATAGCTTGATATCTCAGGAATCTTTGCGGAGAGAGACAATGTCCACCCTTTGCTTCCAGTACTGCTGATACTGTGTGAGACACCAAAACAGTCATTTTCTGGCCCAGAGTAAACTTTCAGGCTTCCTGTATATTCAGTATCACAGCTGCAACTGCCTGCAGGCATCCAGGCCAACCTTTTGCAGTCGTGTCTAACTGCTTAGAGAGGTAGGCAACTGCCCGTCGATATGGGCCCAGGTTTTGTGCTAATATTCCCAGGGCAATGCCCTGCTTCTCGTGAGAGTAAAGAAGAAACAGCTTACTCACATCTGGGAGTCCTAAGGCTGGGACCGACATCAAAGCCTTTTTCAGTAGCTCAGAGGCTCGTTCGGTCTCCTTGTTCCACTCAAGGTGATTCTGTTCAGTGGCGTGCATGTCATACAATTTTTCTCTGTTTTGGTGGCGATCAGGGTATCATCCACATACTGCAACAGCTTCCCCTCCTCATACGGGGCTTCCCAGGATCCTAAGTCTTTCACAAGTGATTGCCAAAAATGGTAGGACTAGTCTTAAATCCTTGTGGCAACACCGTCCAAGTGAGCTGGGTCTTTTGACCACTCTTGGGGTTTTCTCATTCAAATGCAAATAATTTTTGGCTGGCTTCATGGAGAGGGAGGCAAAAGAAAGCATCCTTCAAATCTAAAACAGTAAACCAAGTCAATTCAGGTGTTAATACGGTCAACAGGGTATATGGGTTCGCCACTACCGGGTAAAGATCTTCAGTTATCCTATTCACCGCCCGGAAGTCTTGGACCACCCGATATGACCCATCGGGCTTCCAAACAGCTAATATAGGGGTATTGAATTCAGACTCACACTCTTTTAATAATCCCAACTGCAAAAATTTTTCTATCACCAGCCGGATTCCTTCTCCGTCTTCCTTCTTTAGGGGATATTGTTTAATTCTTACCGGCTTTCGGCCTTCCTTGATCCTAACTTCAACAGGTGGAGCACTTTTCGCTCTTCCAGGTGCATCGGTAGCCCGTACCCCCGGGTACACTTGGTTTAAGATGTCCTCGTTAATATTTCCTTCTAGGGGGAGACTGGTTAAGGTTAGGCTCAATATTTGAATATATTGCTGATCTTTTACCTCCAGAGACTGTCTTTGATTTTCATATTCACTCTGTGAGCCCAATTGTTCCAACAAGTCCCTTCCCAGAAGTGCCTTTGGGGAGTTGGGCATATATAAAAATTTATGAATGCCCCACTGTTTTCCTAATTTATATTCTAAAGGTTTACAAAAATATGCCTTTTCACTTTGGCCAGTCGCTCCTTTCACCATGACATAATCATTTCCCAGGGGCATCAAAGCCTGATTCAAAACCGAGTATGTTGCTCCTGTATCTACCAAAAATTCTACCTCTTGTTGTGTTTTCCCTAGCTTAATTATAACCAGTGGATCCACTAGGGTAGATTCCCCAGGTTCCCATCAATCTCCCTTCACATGGGCTACCGTCCTTCCTGTTTGAGCCCTCTGATCCTCTTTGTTCCTTGGGCATTCCTTTTACCAATGACTGAATTTCTCACACAAAGCGCATTGATCCTTGCCCAGTCGGGGCAAGTCTCGTCTAGGCCCTCTTCCTCTTTCTTCCTGGATAACAGCCATTAATTTCCTTTGCCCTTGCCTATATCCTTCTTCTCTGTTACTAAATACTCTCCATGCTTCATCCAACAATATTTCTAAATTCCTACTCTCTGTAGGGCATAATTTCTGAAGTTTGTGCCTTATATCCCCTGTAGATTGACCCAAAACCAGGGAGACTAATTATTGTATTCCTACCTCTGACCCAGGATCCAGCGGTGTGCTGCCGCGCATCACATCCCTCAGTCGATCCAGGAATTAGAATGGAGACTTGGAAGGACTCTGTTTAACTGCATATAAAGCTGACCAATTTATAGTTTTGGGGATCGCTCTCTCCATTCCTTTTATAATCCACTCCTGATACCCCTGCAATCTTTCCATATGTGCAGATCTATTAACATCCCACTTTGGGTCTTGGAGAGGGAAATATTCCTTAATGTCCCCTCCTGTAATCTTATAATGATCTTCAGCAAGGTTTCCTGCTGTTTTTAAAATCAGCTGTTTCTCTGTCTCAGTCATATATTCCAATAATAGCTGTAAATCCTTCCAATCAGGGTTATGCTGTTTTACAATAAATTGGAAATGTTTAGTTACACTTACCGGATCACTCCTATAATCTTTAGCAACCTTTTTCCATTCCCCTACGTCAGCAGTAGAAAAGGGTACTTTGATTAACATCGTCCCACCATCCGGCCCCACCGCCACTCGGAGAGGTGCTTGTAAAGCTGTTGAGGTAGTTTTCTTCCTAGTACAGGAAGATACAGGGCTGTCCGGGGGGGTCAGAGTTCTATCCGAGTCTGCATCCTGTTCCTGTGGTCGAGGGGGAGGCTTAAACAAATCAGTTAGATCTTGTTCTGGTACCTGATGAAATTTTATTTGTCTCTGTACATCTTTGTCCAATACTACATGCCGAACAACACCACCTCAGTTTACCTCTAAGCCCCTTGTTGTTCTCTCACTCAAGTGCAAGCACCATGGGGTCCTGTGGGGGTACCATTCCACAGTCCCTTTGCCACTCCGGATGATTTCGGAGGGTGAAAAACATGTCTGCATACAAAACCTCATCCCATTTTCCGTCTCTCCTTAAAAACAGCATTAGTTGTAATAGAGTATCATAATCTAGTGACCCATTAAGTGGCCACTTAGCATCACTTTCTAACTTACACACCGGCCACCATTGATTGCAGTATTTAATAAGGTTCTTTTTACTTTCCGTACCTCCGGTCCCAACAATATCTTTCCAGTGGGCAATTACACAACCCAGAGGACTTTTCCTCAATATTCCTCCTTGATTGTTTCCCATTTTATAACTCCTCCTAATGATTCTTAAGTTTGATCTTGGCTTCTCCTTTTAATAAGCTTCCATGCAAATTGTTTCTTACACTTCTTTATAGTCTTCCCCCAGTTTTCCTCCCACACGTCCCAAATTTCTGGAATTAAATTTTCCTTTACACACCAATCTCACTATTTCGGATTCTTAGTGAGCTCTTTCCCAATCATAAAAGTGTGGAATTTGGAGAAAACACTCAAGGCAGTCTCGTTTCTGTCTGCTAGATGTACAGTACCAGCTTCTCCCACAAGATTTACACTTCAACAAAACCCAAGCCGGATGCTAATTATTATATAGTCCAGTTGCAAGCCCACATACAAAGCAAGGAATCACCCCTATTAATACGTAAAGACATTCACACATTAACAAACATACATACACCTATAAATTTCAACATATCATTTCCACACACCCACACAAAATCTTTAACATAAATTTCCAAACATTCACATCATACAAGCATCGCTCCAGTTGACAACCTTCAGCAGCTGCAAAAATAAACCAAGCGCAATTGCGAGGGGGTGCGCTTACCCTTCTCCTGCCTCTTACATACCAGTCATCGACAGGTCCGTCCTGGCTCCCGATACCGGGATGCAGCAGTCACCCCAGATTTGCTCGATCTACCCCCAAGATCGCTAGCGGCCGCTCTATCGGTCAGCAAATCCCCCCTTGTTACCATACAGGGTACCCTCCTCCCATACGGGGACTACGCTGCACGCCAGACGTCTCTGCGCGATTTACCAGCTGCCCCGGCCCGTACTTTTACAGGCTCCCTCTGTGACACATACCATTTGGTCCGCGGCTTCAGGAGGTTGTTGTCTGCTCCCGCGGTGAGCGGCTGGCAGCGGAGGCTCCTCCGAGGAAAGTGCTCGGGGCGCGCCGAGGGGCGTCCGCTCCGCAGTCGGTCCCGCAGCCGAGCAGAGAGTCTCCTGCCTGGCTCGCCAAACTGACGTGCGGAAAACAGACTCCACAATCAGTGAGATTGTAAAGTAGGTATGTTCATTCAGCGCTGGGCGGCACGGGGGGTAGTCCCACCAAAGTCGTGCGCGCCCGACTCGGCAGTTCGCT